GAGTATTGCTTCCTCCCGACATATCATACATGAAAATGTAATCGGATTGAAAGATGTCATGTTTCCGATTTACCGGAATAGCTTCAAAGACATTTATCTTATTTACGAAATAAATATCGATCTTCATCATATCATCAAATCTTCACAACCTCTATCAAACGACCACTGCAAATTCTTCGTGTTTCAGGTATAAATGATTAAACTATCGTTTCCCTAATTAAATTATCGTCTTCTTGTCCATTAATTGATCGATTGTTTCAGTTGCTTCGAGGTCTGAAGTATCTTCACCCTGCTAATATCATCCATCATGACCTAAAACCCGAAAATCTCCTCGTGAACGCAAATTGAGAACTTAAAATATGCAATTTTGGGTTGGCGAGAACGAGGAAAAGTAGTTAACAGTTCATGACGGAATACGTCATCACACAGTGGTATAGAGCACTAGAACTTCTCATATGTTGCAACAACTACGGGACTTCCATTGATATGTGGTTAGTCAAGTGCATCTTCGCCAAAATTCTCAGCTGGAAACCGTTTTTTACAAGAGGGATTTGTCTTTCTTCTTTATACCCGGCGACGGATCATCTGGCTCTGGACTTGCTGCGGCGGATGTTTGTGTTTGATCCGGCGAAGAGGATAACGGTGATGGATGATCTGTAACATCCGTATATGGTGGGTATGTTTGAACCGATGCAGAACCCGAGTGCCCATAATAGAAATTGGAACTTTTAGGAAGCAATAATCGTCGGTTAGTTGGCTTTTCCATCAAGGACGGAAGTGTCGATTGAAGTCGATTTCATGAGTTTTGGTTTAAATGATCCCTAAACTTATTTTTTTGGCTTTAATGGTGCATAATGTGGGTTTTTGGTCTAAATGATCACTGTCGTATGGTATACCGACTATTAGAGGTTAAAAGGGACTAAAAGTGCAGGTCGTAACCTACCTTATACCCCCATAAAGTCAGAAAATAACTTTAAGCATTGAATCGACCAACCCTAGAAACTTTGTAGGGCATTTGTGTCATTTCCCCAAATAAAATATGCTTATAAGTAATTTATTTTACGATATATCTTTATTTAATTAAAGTTTATTATTATAAAATAATAGTTTTTTTATTTACGGACAATATGTTTCAATAACATTCTTTTGAGGCAACCAAATATGACAATGTAATATAATGATTATAGTCGGCAAAAAACGTTCTAACCTGCCAACTCAACCCAAACAATTTGCAAGTTGGGTAGATATTCTTAACCCATTTAATTAAATTGATCAACAAGTTTAACTTATTTAATTAAATGAGTTAAGTTATGTTGAAATTTTGAATAATATATATATATATAAAAAGAGAAGCCCTTAATGAACAATATTTTGTTCTGATTGGTCCTTTTTTTTATATTTATATTTATTAAACATTAAATATTTCTGGTGTTAGAGATTTTTGAAGTTATACTAAGATTTTATTTGTGTTTATGTTTGTACTTTTTTTCAAATGAAAAAAATTATTGAAGTTAGGGCAACTTTTTTTTATTTTATTTGAAGACAAAACTTCATAAATGGTCCATGTTGTATCTCGAAATCTGAAGTTTAGCCCCTAAGTATAAAAAACCTTACAAATGGTCCATATGGTTTCAAAACTTTTAATGTTTGGTCATTATGCCTACCTTCGTCAGCTTTCTACCGTTAAGTGAAGGGTATTTTCGTCATTTCACTACCCAATGGACGATTTATGAAATTTTGCATTATTTAAAAAAAACCAAAAGAAAATATAATTATTTAATATAAAAAGGTCCTATCTCTTGTACGTCTTCTTCCTAAAAAGAACACACCCTTTTCTTGATTTGGGTTTATTAAGTTCTGCAACTTCAAAATCAAGCCTAGACCGAAACAAAACCATATCAACCTTTACCGCTACATTCTCGTGGATCAGAGCCTCCTCCAACCGAGTTTAGTCATCGCCCTTTGACTCAAGGGTTCGATTTTGGTTTTGAATCCACCACAACCTGTATGGTTTTTAGGGTTTTTATGGCCTCCTCACGAATTCCCCTCGTATTTTTTCTCCATCTACCATTGAATCCAGATACAGAATCCGGACATTGATTTGTTAATCCGATATCGATTTGTTTCTCCGATATCATGTTCTGATAAAGATGCAGATTAGGCTCAACTGGAGCTGAGAAAAGAAATAGAGAGAGTTCGGTGGTTTAGAATATACATACAAATCCATATACACATGAACGCAGTTTTGGAATCGATTAAAGAGGATGGAGATGTGGGGAGACCGGTTCATCCCAAGGACATGATTTTGAAGTCTGTGGGTTAATCCAAGTTGCAAGAAAATGCTCGGACCAGGTGTGGTTTGGAATATATTTTCATTTTCAACATTACACATAGGTAGACCCTGGCTTCATCGTAACCTGCATCTTTGATGTTAATCCATACCCATGGATGTTAATCCATTCTATATGTAAAATTAAAACTCGATACCACCGAAAAAGCCAAACAAGATCCAAGCCTCATGCTTGCTGGAAAATAACTACGATTCGATCATCCAACTAACTGATCCAAGATATTGCTTTGTTGGAGAACATAAACGCAAACAACTAAGCTTTTACTCTCCCTTCCCCATTGTATCTCTTTCTTTTTCTCTCTCTAAAGATGACGAAGAGGTGTCCAGGTCCTTGTGGTCTCTATGTCTATCTCTATCACATACAATAGCAATTTGAGGAACTCTTAGTTATTCCCCAATCAATTACCTGCATAAATGGGAAACAAAGGTGCACATCAATTCTTATTTTGAAGGGGGGAGAAAGGGGCATACTTCCAGCGACAAGATTAAGGAAGGGAATGTGACTACTTTTTCTCTAACACACACACACACTTATACATAGTCATATACTGAAAATTAAACACATCTCAACCCTACTGTCTTCATCATATTTATGACCTGAAAAAATCAAATTGGAAGAGAAAGAGAAAAGAAAAACAAAGCGTAACACACAAACAACAAGATCAGAAAAAAAAACCCAGCATTGCTCATCGGTTTGAAAAAGACGCACATCAAGAGAAATAAAAACATTGAACTTTAAAATTAAAAGCACTAAGAAGGACCTTGATTGAGAACAAATCTGTATATGAGAGAGAGACCCCTTGCATATTAAATTTTATTTTTTTAAATAATATAAAAAAACCTCATAAAGTGAGCTATAAGAACTAAACATTAAAAGTTTTGAAACCATAGAGACCATCTGTGAGGTTTTTTAAAGTTCGGGACGAAACTTCAGATTTTGTAAAACCACATGGACCATTTATGAAGTTTTGTCTTATATGAATAAAGATTGGTGTATGCATGGATGGAAATTTTGCCTAATCTGTTGGGACTTTGAACTAGTTTGACCCGTCCTAATCGGTGTTGGATATTATCTGTCAAACCAGGTCCTGCTTAGGGACATGGGATAGGGATCCTAACAAGGTGAAATCCAAAGGAGGGGCCGAGATTGGGTATTTTATTCTCTAACGTGTCTAGTCCTCTTATTTACAAAACATGTATTATATATGATTCTCTTATATAAATCATTTTTTTATTTTTTATTTTGAAGTTACCAAATGTTTCGTAGCATCTTGGCTAAAAACAAAATTCTAGATTTGACATGAAAATGGAACTCAAGTACTTTCGTTGTGAAACCACTACACCCATGAACTAAATTTTTTTTGTTGATGAATATCATGCAGTCAAACAAAAATCTAAATGGAAAATTACATATATTGTCTTGTTGACTTATAATGATTTTGACATATTAATGCAATATGCTCTATCATTTATATACCATAGCCTAAAGTTGGGTTTATTTGTTACGATGGACTCAAGATGAGATGAGAGATGCCAGGAATATGTCCAATTTTCAAAGGGAAAAGAATTTATTTCGGATGGGGACCCGATTTCAACACATTTAGTAATAGGTGTAAGTTTTTATTTAATTATTTTTTTAATTTAAATGGTTCAACCCATTTATTTAGCAGGTTTGTTTAGGAAAAATAAAATGGTGAATCTGATTTCAACTCATTTATTAAGTATGTTGGGTTGGATCGAGAATCAACCCCTTTACTTAAACAAGTTATTTATGTTGAGATTTTCAACGGGTTAGATCACCCGAAAATGACCAAACCTAACTTATTGTCACCCAAATAATAATCTATTTCATTCGTTCGTTCATTTCATTAGGTTCATTTTAATCATTGTTGATTTCATTTTATCGAGAGATCGAGAGAGAGAGAAATGATTTATTTTGGACTGCCAAAAACTCGATAAAAATCAATGACTGCAAAATGATAGTGAAATGACATCTATATCTTCATACAAATTAAATTCGAAATAAAAAGTAAAATTCCGTTGCCGGGACTTGAACCCGGGTCTCTCGGGTGAGAGCCGAGTATCCTAACCAACTAGACTACAACGGATTGTTGCTAAATTTAGAAAATAGTATTATTTATTCATAGTATATATTTTTTTAGACAATTTTATCTAACTCCGTGAGTCTGATCCTTGGACTTGATGTATTTTGACATTTGGGTATTAAGTATGTTGTTTTTTCTTTTTTCTTATACAGATCGGTTATTAATTTAGAAAACAAATATATTATTTATTAATTATTATGTTAGGAATAAGATCACTACGTTATAACATATTTTTTGAGCTGTCTTATTTAAGTCATTCTCTTTTCCATACATATCTAGTAATTATACTTTTAGATTAAAAATGTCTCATTTAAGTCATTTTCTTAGGCATGGTTAGACTTCGGTTAGTTAGATTATCAATATTTTCATTTAATACAACAACGCTAAAACATTTTGAACATATATGTACCATAGTAAACGATTTGAAGTCCATCATGGATAACATCATGGTATGTATGTTGTAATTTTGAATTTGATATATATATATATATATATATATCTATATATATATATATATATATATATATATATATATATATATATATTGGATGTTGCATTTTTTATCATCGAATATTTCACAACATGTAGTCGGTTTATATACAATGATAATATGAAAAAAAAAAGCTTATAAATCAAAAGAAATTATGTGTGTCTCTATGCTAATTTACGTAACTCATGTCATGTGTAGAATTTCACCATATCCAAGATTTTCCATAATTTACTTCCAGAGCTTGAATTTTCCATGACCCTTGTGCTTACCAAACTTCCCACGCTTGTATTTTCCATGATGGTGTTTGCCATGCTTAAATTTTCCATGGCCATAACCATGACCATGACCGCCATGCCCATAATGACCATGAGCCATGTATGCTGCCGCTCCACCAGCAAGCACTCCCATTACGCCACCAGGGAGCTTGTCTCCTTTTTGTGCTAAATGCATAAGGGAATTACATATTAAAGACTTAGATATATTGTTTTATTTTGCTCATTGGAATCATTAAGGTAAATGAATTATTTTCCTCTACAAGTAAAGTCGATACACTTACCTCCATGTTGACCGGGAGGAGTACCTCCATGTTGACCGGGAGGAGCACCTTGAGGATATCCACTTTGAGGATAACCCGCCGGTGGGTATCCACCCGCAGAAGGGGCACCGGGATAACCTGCAGGTGGATAAGCACCAGGATGACCTCCTTGAGGATACCCATAAGGCGAGTAGCCTTGTTGAGGATATCCATGTGGAGGATAACCTTGTTGAGGAGGATATCCTTGTGGTGGATACCCTGGATATCCTTGTGGGTATCCTTGTGGTGAGTAATCTTGTGGAGGATATCCAGCTAGTGGATATCCTTGTGAATGATGTTCTCCGGGCGGTGGATACCCCCCTTGTGGAGGATGTTCTTCGTGCTTAGGGTATCCCCCAGGTGGATACCCGTGTGGAGAATGTTCTCCAGGTGGAGGATATCCGCCCGGTGAAGGTTGCCCGGATGATGGAGGATTTCCTCCGGGTGGATACCCTTGCGCAGGATGTTCTCCGGGCGGAGGATATCCCCCTGATGAAGGTTGTGTTGATGATGGGGGATTACCGCTACCACCCGCCCCACTTGAGTTGGGTTGATTGGCCATTATCGTAGTTCGCTCACAAAGCCTTCCGTTACCAAGTAAAACAAATCTATATATTTAGAAACAAATTAGCACATAACATGCTCACAACATTAGGTATAAAGGAGAAAAAACATCAGACAAGATAACTTTCACATATATTATAGGAAAACATGCATACAACCTCCAAATCAAGTACATATTGTCCTAATGATACAAACCCGATTTTTTGAAAAGGATTACAAAGATCATACGAGACGTCTATTTTGAAAATTATAAAACCATCTGAAGAATCATCGAGTTCTCAAACATGAATAATTAAGAGGAAAAAGGGAGTCTAATACCTTATTGCAATAAGAACAAATGAGGTCTTAATTTTCATTTATTGCCATTTAACTTTGTGTATAAGATAAACAAACCACTAATATTTTTTAACGTGAAATTGTTTTGTGGTTGGCAAGTTATTAGGACGAATTTATAGGATCTATTGTATATATGTTTGGTTTTTGTTAGATTTCTATTTATAGCAACACATTGTGACATTGTCTATGCATGAGTTACTAATGAAACCCGATGTTAATCCACAATCGAGGGTTATTAAGTAAAACTAGTTCAACCCATGTTACAAGTGGGCCCAAGTTAATACCTTGCTCATCATCATTTATGTAATCTTAAGAAACCATGGTTATGATATGATTATGAATATCCCTTAAATTATCGGACAATATAAAAGATCAAATCCAGAAGGCTACAAATTACTATAACATTACTGTTCAAAACCGATCCCCAATAATCAATCAATCATTCGATCACGATCACCCTTCCCTCTGTGTATACATGAAAGTTCTCTATCTATAAACATGGATGGATCAACATTCACCAATGAGGATGATCGTCTTCTGGGGTTTGAGGAGGGAGAGGCTTCCAATCGGGTTTCTCATCCCAATATATGTCGTAATATATGTGACCCGGCGTATGACTGTCAACACAACACCAGATTCCAACATATCGCTTCACTCGCTTCCTGAATTTTTCTTCCCTAATCTGATTACATCAAAAAATTTCATCAATTCCAGTAATCTCATCACGTCAAAACTAAAAACCCTAAATCGATTGCTTGCCTTGTCAGTGAATCCTTCGAAGGCATCTTGCATCGATGAAAATTGGATTACTTTCACATCCTTCAATGGCGAGAACACCGTTTTCAACTGTTGAATATTTTTATACGATTATTAGGTCACAATCAGGCTCAAATTTCTTACCAGTTATGCATATACACACAAAAATTAATCTTTGCATACAGTTTCTTCGTTGCTGTGTCTGGGCAATCTGAGTACTCCTGCTGTGTTTGTAATGTTTGATTGGCAATTTTCCGATCCTTGTTGACATAGTTGTACATTGAGCCATGAATCCTTCACCTGAAAGCACGAAATTTAGGAAAAATGATGTCTGAATCTGAAGTGAAATTACCATTTTCTCCCTATATCCATACCTTTGCAGGCATCAATGGATTATCTAAGAAAGAATACTCTCTTATGTTGATTCCAGGCCCAAATTCCTCTTCAGGCATTGCCTTTAACATGGTGTTAACCTGAACAGATCACCTTTTTTTGTTAACTAATAAATTTGTAGTTTATTGTACTTATAAAACAAGTAATTAAAGTTGTTTTTATTTGTTTTTTTCAGAAATGAATTTGCAAAAAAATGTACCTCAAATACATGATCCAAAGGACAGATGAAGGGTTGTCTTGTCATTGACCCTATGAGAACTCCAGGATGTGGAAACCATAATCTATCCAACCTACACCATAATGGAGGCATAACCTAAAATTCAAAAATTTTCAAATTAGAATTTAAAAATCCAAAGGTTAAATGCAAAAAATATCAATGTACTATTTTTTATTAAATAAATGAAAGTGTTTTGCTATTTCTTGCATTTAGCTCAAAATCAAAAAAGTAAAACATTGATGCTATCAAATTAACATGATACTTAGTAAACTGTAATAGTTTCTCACCAATGTACGATTCAAAACTAATGCTATGACAAGGGCATTCCTTATTTGCTTCATCTGCAATTCACTCACATAAATCAATTCAAAATCAAATTACTCGAATCATGACTTTGTGTAAAGAAGTGGCAAGATGAAGAAATATGTTCATATATCCATACTTGATAATTAACAAGAGTGAAATGAGTTTCAAGATTATGTTCCCCATCAAGTAACAAGCTTTTTGGAATAGATGGCTTGAATGCCAAAAACCCTCCTGTATATCAACACAACAAATAGAACTTGTATTTTTAATCATAACAATTTCACCTTTGCATCCTATTTAAGCCACAAGTGAACATATATTCAGAAAATTTAAAGTATTGGGATATACAAAAATCTACACAATAAGTACCTGGTGAGTCAAAATATTCTGGTGGATCATAGAACACCATAGCTTCACGTAACCTATGACGCTTTCCTTCAGTTCCTGCATATTGAAATGTGGTATGCACAGCATACGCCTCCAATCTCAGTTGTTGATACATAGCCTACACAAATGCAGAAGAAATACATAATCAAATGAACAAGTTTCAAAAAAGATTAATTATAGTATTTGTTTTTTTTTTTGAAAGAGAAATTCTAGTATTTGTTATAAGCTCTTACTTGAACAAAATAAGTATGGCCACTACAAAATATACTTGCAGGAAGAAGTCCAAGCTTTAAACTTCCATCATAAGCATAAACAAGTCCACTTTCATCATCAACAGAAGGCCCCAATTGCCTATGCACAAGATCATTGAAACCATTTTGATCCCATATTTTATCATCTGCTAAAAGCATCTCTTTCCATTCTTTTGCTAATTTTTTTGCAGATTCTGTTGGTCTCCAATGGAAGATACCTATATTGTATGCACCCCCAACTGTCCACCCCCAAAAATTCAGAAAAGATTGTATGTTAGGGGATGTTTCTTTTTCTTGGAATGTAAGGGCAAAATGGTCATTTAGTCTAGAAAAAAGAAACAAACAGACCTTATGTATACAACACTTTATCCAAACCAAACAAACCTTATGTATATATCACTTTATCCTATCAAATACCTATTCAACCACTTTAACGTTATAGAACTTATGGGAAAAAAGAAAAAAGAAACAACTCCTTAATCCAATTTGAAATTACAATTTTAACCTTGTTGCCAGATGTCTAATCGGTCATCGGAAACCGTTGGTGTGACTTGATCGGTTGAAGTCAACACATCTGCTTCAGGATAACGTGCAAGATACGGAAGTGGATTCTGTGAAAATAATGATTTTTTTTTTTTTCAAAATTTTTAGTGACCAAATTGGAAATAAAGTGAAAGTATGGTGCTATATTGTCACAAATTTTACCTTTAACCAAACCATGTCGGTGTCACACATGAGTAATTCATAACCAAAAGGTAACATTGAATCAATGAGAATGACTTTTTCTCTTCCCATTTTATGAAATGTTGGTGAGCCCCATCCAACATCTATTGTGCTCATATGACTCCCCATGTCAAAAACCGGGACACCCTTCCAATACAAAGCCTCCAATAGTTTTGTGTCCATTGCACCTTGAAAATAAATTCAATTTGGAAAATGGGTTTTAGTAATTTTTCATTGGTTTGTAAATGTATGTGAAAGAAAAAAACTTACCAACAAGAAGATTTTCAACGCCCAAATCTGTCAAGTGTTTAACCCATGTGAGGATGAAATCCATGAAGGCATAGTTACCAAATGTTGCTATTATAACGTTATCTTTCACTCTTTCTTGAACCAATTCTTTTGTTAAACGAAATGTCTCCAATGGGGGCATCTTTGAATCCGATGGGGGAGGTTTCCAAATAGGGTTTAGTTTCCCGTTTTGGGGCTGAGGCATCGGTGCCATTACACCACCACCCACTCTTAGCGAAGGAGAAGAAGAATCAAATGTTTGATTTGGGGAAGAAGGTGCCACATCTATCATGACACATAAAACGAGAAAGACATGTTAAAATGGTATATTTTTTTTAAACAATTTACTGGCATGGAACTATGGAAGTAGAATTGGATTGAAATTAGTTCAAGATTTGAAGTGAATGAGCTTCGATTGCAGTTCTAAAGCACCGATTAACAGACAACATTCACAAGAAAACCATAGCAGAAAAGCTAAATACTTCGTCTTGAATGCCTAATTCAACAAGATTTTGGTGTCATCCAAGCTAAGGGAAGGCTAGAAATCAACCCAAGGTAGTTGACTTTAATCCCAATTTGGAAGACAGATGAATTTCAAGTAAAGGAGCAATTAAAGAGTTAAAGAAATGCATAGTTCTCATGTCATTGATATAATACAGACATAGATCAGTAGAAGTGTATTCACAGAGAGAAAGGAAGAGATGTACGTTGTGATAGGCTCCATGAGAAGGCGGACTCAGGAGAGTAAACGGCGGAGAAGACATAAATAGCAGAGAAGACGATTCCGATCAATACAGTACCATAAACCGTCAAGAACAATGGCTTTGAGTTCGCCACATCTTTAAATGGATTTTTCCAACCCATTGCTTGATTATCGGGGGTTTAATAAAGAACCCTAAATCCTGGATTTGATCGACATAATGCCAATACAGCAGAAATAAAATGTCAACTTTTGAAGAAATCAGAGATGTTGATGATCGGTGTAGGGTTTTTCCGAGTTGTTTCTATGTTCCTGTGATGTATCGAAGAATTAGAGCAGTTGAACGTAGTAGGCAGCGACACCAAAAGTCAAATGGTTCCACCCTGTCTGAATTGAAAATCTGAATCTGGCCACCATGACCATGAGCATCAAATTGACATTTGTCTATAGCGTTTGGTGCATGATGTGCAGAAGAGTGGGAGCTTCGTGGGGGTTTATTTTTTAAGGGATGATGAAACCCAATTTAAATTAACTATACATTTATGGAAATTTTAGACATTTGTGGACGTTTTGCTTTTATCACTAAGACAATCATAAATTCATAATTCATCTTTTTTTTTTTTTTGAATCATGTTCATACTTCATTGTACTTGACCAGGCATACGTTGATCAAGTAATGTGAGCGATTTCATTTGATACTTTCAAAAAATAGTATTAGGTTAGAATATATACCAACTTAATTGGGTTAAAAACACGATACTCACAAAAATGATCTTACAAATAATGACTATGGTATCCGAAATGTTTATTTTTGTACAACTAGCAGGTTTGGTTGGTTTTGACGGTGGGTGATAAAGATGCACAAAGGCCGATTAAAATTGGTTTATTATTATTATTATTATTATTATTATTTAAATCTAACCGCTTTTTGTCGGTTTTTTTTGAAGTGGGAGTGAGGTAAAAGATCGGTTATTTTCGGTTAAAAATCGATTCGGTAAAAAAACGGGAATAAAATTGGTTTAACCTAACCGGTTTTGGAAAAACCGATTT